TGGCAGGACACACATCCCCCACCTCTCTCCAACCCTGGCAGGGAGTTGCAGAGAGCCAGGAGGCTCAGGGCTAAACAAACCCAATTCCCTCAGCCCTTCCTCATCCCACATGTTTTCCAGACCTTTTCTGCCCTCGTTGCCCTTGGCTGGACTCACTCCAGTGCCTCAATGTCCTTTTTGCAGTGAGGGGCCCAAAACTGAACATAGCACTGAGCTGTGCCCTCCCCAGTGCCCACTCCAGGGGGATGAGCACTGCCCTAGTCCTGCTGCCACACTGTATTTGATCCAGGCCAAGATGCCCTTGGCCTTCTTGGCCACCTGTGCACACTGTTGGCTCCTATTGAGCTGTGCCACCAGCACTGCCAAGTCCCTTTCTGTCCAACAACTCTCAACTCACTCCTCCCCCAGCCTGGAGCTGCATGGGGTTGTTGTATCCCAAGGGCAGGACCAGCACTGAGCCTTATTGAACCTCATGCAGTTGATTACCCCAATTACTCCAGTGAAAACCTTTTGGATGCAATTTATAGATTAGTGTCAAGGCTCACACATCTGCTGCACTCAGAGATCTTTCACAGCCAGTTACACAGTAACTTCCAGACAAAATATGAACTGAAATAAATTTTAGAGTGGCTCATACTCTGTACAGTAGAGATCTCCTTATCATACCTTGATGCAGTTTTAGTTAGGTGACCACGTTATGTGGTCATTGCTCTGTGCAGAGGCTTTAATTAAATGTGCCCTTCGTGGCAAACTTCCAGCTGCAGCAGCACCCAGAGCAACATCATTTTACCCTGATTTAATGCAGTACCTAGAAGTGTTGAAGAACATCTTTGCCCAATTATTTTGCCGCCTTCAAATACCTAAGTTCTAGCAACATAACCATCCTACAGAACTGAGAGGATCCCTCAGTAAATGTGTCCCTCTCTTTGGACAGCTCTCACAGAAGATGAACGGGACAGCCAGTCACCACTGAAGAATCCTTTGCTGTCGACTTCAAGACCTCTAGTCATTGGAAAATCCAATGGTATGTCCAAAATGGTTCTGATGTGTGTGCATGAGAACCAGCTTTCAGCTTGTGATCCCTACTGTATTACCTCTGCTCTCTTGGCTTTAGTTTGAAATGTCAGTTTACTCCAGGCAACCCAAAAATTAACTCTCCTTTTTATGTCTGCTCCAAACAAAGGTGATGCAGTAGATTACCAAAAGCAGTTGAAGCAGATGCTGAAGGACCTAGCCAAAGAAAAGGATACTAAAACTGAAAAAGAATTGCCAAAAATGAGCCAGGTATGTACCTTAGAGGCTGTACCTTGTTTGTAAAGAGGTGTTCTCAAAATGAAATGAGTGAATACAATAGTTTGGTTCTTTCCGAGAAAGTGTGACTTCAGCCTGAGCTTAGATTCAGTCTTTTAGGCACGGAGGATTGGGCTCCTCTGATACAGGGAGCAGGTGTTTAAAAACTAGCAGCTCCCTCTGCTCAGAGTGGCTGGTGAGCAGAATTTGAGACTCACTCTGGTGTGCAGCAGAAGGGACTGGCAGGCAGGCAGGCTCCTGCAGGCTGGAAAAAGTGCCACCCTAAGCCCAGCAGTTCCCCAAGAATGCATCTTGCTGTTCTGTCTTCCCATACCTACTCTCTACCAAACCACTAAATTCTCAGTCCTCCACCAACTGGAAGTTGCCCTGTTTTAGCCAACTGCTTGAAAGCAGCTGAAGGTTGTCATCATCTTACCCTTTCCTCCCTCATGCCAGTGGCTTCTCTATGTTGTCAGCCTAAGGGAATCTACTGGAGAGGAAATGGTCCCATATTAGTAAACCAAATGTACAGACATGCAAAGATGGGACCACACCCGGAATCCCTTCTGTGCTGCTGTTGCCAAATAAAGCTTTAAAGGGGTGGCACGTACCTGTCAGCTCAGCAGGGACACATCATCTCTCATAAAGGCATCACTTCACTAAAGGCTCATGAATTTCCTGACGGGGTATGGAAACATCCTCTCGAGCCTGATAATCATGTGATGGGTGAGCAGAGGAAGGAGAGAAGGGCAGGGAAGATGTCTGGATCTTATTAGAAGAAAAAAGAGCTGGGGGAAGATGGGAGAGAGAACAGCAGCAGGGAAGTTGCTTGCAGGCCTGTGGATGGCAACTTTGGCTGGAACTCATTCTGTGTAAAGGCCACCAGTAAGGGATTACCCCTTGCCTTGGATCTCACTTGCCCTTTGGTCATCTGACAGGTCCTGATCTTCCTCATTAAGGCAGTAAAATTCTGCTCTGTTCCCTTTTCGGTTTGCAGCCCAAGCTTTCCTAGCACCAGTGGGGATTGAAATCCCATCACTCACATTTTTGTAAGAGCAGGCAGAAGTTACAAATGCACACCTCAATGGACACAGCCTTCTGCCTGCCCTTGCAGGACTGTGCCCTCCCCAACTCCTGCAGTGACCCACAGTGTGGCTGTTCAGCAGTTTGATGTTGGTTTCTCACCCTTTACAGAGGGAGTTCATTCAGTTCTGCAAAACACTGTATAGCATGTTCCATGAAGATCCAGAGGAGAATGATTTGTACCAAGCCATTGCCACTGTGACCACACTGTTACTTCAGATTGGAGAAGTAGGACAAAGAAGCATCAGCCTGGGGAGTGGATCAGATGAGTTCACTGAGGACTTCCAGCCTGAGGCTTCTGCTTCAGACCAGGATGCTGTTTTTACTGACACTGTGAAGAGCCCTCACAAAGACTCTCAACCTTCACCTGTGACTGAAGGGGACTGGACTGTCTCTTTCGAACATATTTTAGCCTCTCTCTTAACTGAACAATCATTAGTTAACTTCTTTGAAAAACCCTTAGAACTGAAACCAAAACTTGAGAATGCAAAGCTAAACCAATACAGTCTCAGAACAAATGGAATGAGCTGCCAGTCACGGGGTGAACATACAAAACCAAACGTGCAGTAGCAGCAAACACGTCAGGAACAAAATGCACTGAAATCTCATGCCAAAGCACATGCTGTAAAAGGCTTTCGGTTAGCAGTGGACTTCTGATAAACAATTTGTTGGTCTGTGGTTTTCAGCTGAAGAGCTTTAAAAGCTGAAGGGTGTGTAGGTTTGTTTTGTGCCATTGATTTATTAATTGTGTTCTTGTTTTGAATGTAAAAGGAAACATCTGTCTGCAGTGTGAAGACACTGAACCTCTCTTCCGCACTGGGAGAGCAGAGGTGGCTCCAGTTGTTTGTTTTTTTTTATCACACAGGGAAAAACACTTCTCAGCTACTGTCTGCAGTTTGTTTGGGTTGCCTTTTTTGCACTAATACTGAAAACTGTTTCAATGCTGGTAATTGAAACTATTTTAATATATTTGATTGTATCCCAATTTGTATGTCTCGCTGGAACGTTCAGTGTCCATGGACTGTGCTTCTGATGTTGGTCTGTGAGAACATGCACTTTTCAATAAAACCTTTTTGTACTAGACTGGCATTGACAGTGTTCATTGATTGGGGAAGGTAAGTGCCTTCAGCCCCTACTGAATTAAACAAATTCCTTGAGCTAGTGTGAGCACAATTGTTCCACTAGGCAGAACCTCATTTCCTGC